CCTGTCAATCAGCGTGTAGCCCCGCCCTAAAGCGTCCCTGCTGTATGGTCGGTCAGAGACCTGTCAATCAGCGTGTAGCCCGCCCCCTAAAGCGTCCCCTGCTGTATGGTCGGTCAGAGACCTGTCAATCAGCGTGTAGCCCCGCCCCTAAAGCGTCCCTGCTGTATGGTCGGTCAGAGACCTGTCAATCAGCATGTAGCCCCGCCCTAAAGCGTCCCCTGCTGTATGGTCGGTCAGAGACCTGTCAATCAGCGTGTAGCCCCGCCCCTAAAGCGTCCCCTGCTGTATGGTCGGTCAGAGACCTGTCAATCAGCGGGTGCTCCTCTAACTAGCTTCTGGCCTTCTCTCCTGTGACGTTCTGCGTCTTTCTTCTCTCCTCTTCTCGTTCTATCAGATACAAACTCTCCTCCTCTTCTTGAATCTTTAGGGTTTAACGTGTTAAATACTGAGCCCAGTTAAAGAAAACTGACTTTGAAGGGTTTTGATCGTATTTACTGGCTGCTCATTTTACCGAATGTTCCTTTGAAGAACAACTCTTCAGGTTCTTAATGCAGATTTAGATTAGAAGACGAGGCGGAGTGGACTTTATAGTGAGCGGCTGGAAGGGAGGAGCTTCACTCTCACAGGTGTTCTTCCTCCTCCTCCTCCTCCTCCTCCTCCCGTCTTTCACTAGGAGATAATAGAGAGAGGCATCCGAGGGGGAGGAACAAGAGGACTTGTGTGTGTTTAAAGCTCCAGGTGACAAAGTTATTTATTGATAACTATTGATCAAACACAAAAGTGTGTGTGTGTGTGTGTGTGTGTCACATCTTTCTGTGTTGAATCTAAACTTCTTGAACAACTACTGACGCCAAACTGATCAAACAAGCATCGATTCAACGGACAACCGGAGTAAAAAGACGAAACGGAGCAACAGACACCTGATCAATCAAACGATGGATCAAAGGAATCCTCAGTAACACTGATTGCCGATCAATGAACCTGAGTTATGAGCGCCAGAGCGTTTTAGAACGGTTACCATGACAACGGCAGTCGCGCTCCGATTGCCGCTGTCATGGTAACCAATCGTGAAACCAGTCGCGAGTTCGTTGATAGTTTAAAGGAGGCGGAAAATGTGAGTGAGGAGGAAACAAGTGTTTATGGAGGATGGAAATGAGGGGGGGGGGGGGGGTCCCATCGAGACATGGAACATGCAAAGATCATGACAGAGGACGATGAGAAGCAGCTCATGGTTTAATTATAATAATCATTAAGGGACTCTGATGTGTCCTTGATAATGAAGCTGCATTCTGATTTGCTCTCACAGCCGAAATGTTCCCGCCCACAAACTGGGATGAATGGGACTGACAGTAGGTTCAATGAGGGGGGGGGGGGGGCTACCCACCAGGAATGTCTATCAATCTGTTCACGACATCACCGTTTATATAACATAGTATTGTTATATAAACATAAGATTAATATTTCGTATTCCAGAGGAGCGTTTGTGTGACAGAAGTGAAGCAGAATAAAAGTGTCGGCTGTGAGAGCAACTCACTCAAAGTCCAATAAAGACATAAACGCTGAGACTTCCTACCGTTACTGTGCAGGCTGAACCACAGCAGGACCACGGGGAGGACCTGACGGAGCAGCTGATGGAGGCTCCACCTTCCTCCCCCTCTTGAACAGAGCTCCCTGCAGGAGGGAGGAGAACGTCAGCCCGAACAGAAACACACAGAAAAATACATGTAAGATGATAAATTATAGTGAAATAGATTTAATTACATTCAAATAATCAAATAGATATTAAAGGAAAGAGTAAAGAAAACACAAAATGAATTCATATAATAACATAATACTGTTGTAAATTAGACATACAAGCAGAATGAAATTCAAATTCTTGATAAAATGAAATAAAACAGCAGATAAACTTGCAGATCTGATGTGTCTGAAGCTAAACGCTAACAAGCTAACAGTGTGTTTACGCCTCATCTCAAGAACCCCAGAGAGCCAATCAGTGACGATCAATGAGATCAATGAGCTGTTTCCATTTCTGCTTCTCCTCTCAGTAAAGTTCATATATATTATTTATATGGAAATAATCTATATTTGAATATGAATCTGATTTCTGAAGACAAACTGTACAACTTTTTGACACATTATGTTGACAATCACTGTCAAACTAATATTTACATCAGTAATATTTGGACACATTAGGTTGATTTTGTGTTTTCAGCTCATGTTTGGATGAAATAATAAAGTTTGAATATAATTCAGTCTGTGGTCCGTATTGAATATTAAAGCAGAACACAAGAGAATGTTTCATCTCAGCGCACAAAGTTCATGACATTCAAGCAAAGAGCCTCTTTGTCAACTCCTACATCTTGTTTCCTCGTTTCCTCCCCCCTCCCCTCGGTTACTGCTCTAGATCTATAGATCAGAGAGTATAGAACTCCACGTTAAAGACCAAACTAGAACCTGTTTACTTTTCTTATGAACGGAACCAGATTCTGCAGATAAAGGACTCTGAGGACCCTGATCTCTATTATCGCATTAATGAGGACCCACAGGAACCAACAACTCTATTCATCTATGAATGCTGTGGACACAGGACATCTGAGGACTCACATCTGGTCACTGGAGCAGCTGCTCCTCTTGAAGGATCATCTTCCTCCTGCTCAACGTCTCGAGGAACTTTCTGTCGCGCCCAAACTTTTCTCCAAATCAGCCAAAACCCTGAATTCGCCTCGGTGACGCGTAGAAGTCTCCAAACTTTGGAGACCGGGGACGGACGGGACAGACGGGACAGACGGGGACAGACGGGGACAGACGCTCTCCCGCCCGGTTGGGTTCGCTTCTGCTGTGCGCTGATGCTTCTTCCACTGAGGCGAAGAGTTCGAGGCTCCGCGGCGTCAAGCTGCAGGAAACACCACGAGGCACTTCCGCTCCAGGCGCAGATTTTCACAATAAAATCATTCAGATTACCTCATTAAACGAAGACACACAAAGAACAGGAAGCCTGAAACAGTGTGCTTTCATTCGAGTACTCGAGTACTAAGTACACTTCTCTATTTCTATTGTATACTAGCATACTTTATATTCATATGTTACAAAATTACATTGTACATGTACACACACGTAATAGATTACAAATCTCAAATGAAGGATTTAGCATTGGAATAAAACACCTTTATGTTTACAACAACGAGAGGAAAGTCAATTCTTTATAAGAGACTTTCAAAGGACACATTTGTATATTTAGCTTAGAACACTTCAGTACTTTGCTTGTATTTGTACTTTGATTAACAATCCACAGAATGAGAAACACTTTGTGAAAAACACACCGAAGTGAACCCACGATGAAGACGTTGTGATGAAGGTGAAGGACATCAGGAAGCTTTAGAGATGAAAACATGAATAAAAAGACTCATCGCATTTATTCACAATCGATGAAACAACAAACTGCTTCACTTCCTGTAACCAGCCGACCTGCGGAGCTCCGCCTGTAAGAAAACAACTTCTGGAGGATTGTGTAACGTCAATGGAAAGGAAACATTTTGTCCCCTGCAGTTAAGACACAAAATAAAAGTCAGATTAATGTGAAAAGACCGGGATCAGAGAAAATACAACTATTTGTTCACTTAACTGAAACAACAAAGCAGAGGCTAGAAAATACAACCGGACTTTAAATTAGAAACAAACATGATGAGAAGACAGGCGCTGGAGGAACGTAGAGGACACACAGGAAGAAAGACAGAGTGAGACAATAATGTCAATGAATGATGAATAGAAACGTGTCTCACAGAGATGTAAATACGAATGTTTTCATTCTTCTTCTGAAGTCATTCTGTAATTGGATTTTATTAATGATGATAATAAATCATGATAAAAAGTTGGCCATCGTTCAATTTTCAATTTCAATTTTCTTTTATCATTTAAAGTGATAAAAAAAATGACAGATTGCTAAAACAAGAATAAATTAAAACAAAAAATGACTGAGACGTCGGAGTGTCATCTCCAATATTTTATTCAAACTGAGTCCATCAGATCAAATGTTAATGAAGGAACTTCAACGTTAAATAACAATAAACCAGAGAAAAAGATGGCCGCCCAGATATAATCAACATTTACAGAAAAAGTGATGAAATTAAAACGTATTTGAGGGAAATGGCGTCTGAGCTTGTAAACAAAAGGTGAGATTTTGTGAAAAAGAAAAACGTTAAAGTTAAATTAAAGTAGAATCACAATAAAGATAATAAAACGTTTCTCATCGTTAGCCCATCAAGTAGCATGTTGGCTAACCACGTGCCCCCTTTACAGTGATACGGCATTCTCTCACACGTTCCTCCCGTTTCTATGGTTACCGGAGGAAAAGGAGACGCCGTGGTAACGATGACGGGAGGTCAAGAGGTCAAGAGTCAGTTTTTTATTTTACTTTTGTTACGCGACATTAGAACAAAACACCTCCGAAATATTACCGGTCCCAAGAGGAAGGGAAACCTTTGATAACACTTCAAAGGGAAGGCTGTGGAACCGTAATTAGCCTAGCTTAGCATAAAGTCTGGGGCAGTGGGGGGGAGCTAGATTCACATCGAGTCTCTGCTCTCCAACACAAATTGATCAGGAGGAGAAAAAACAACAACAGGTAGCTGAGTTCCCTTTACTTCCTGTCTTTATGCTAAGCTAACGAGCCAGCTGGCTAATGGGTTTCATGCATCGCGTCACGTGCCGACGGTGAAACTCGACCACAGAAAGACTTCCACAGCCTGGTTTTATTTTCATTTTGGAAAAGCCAGAAAGGAGAAATTTCAATGAAAAGAAGATTATTTTAACAAAAGTTAAAGTGTGTGACAGAAGAGAAGCGTCTGAAACACGTCGCCAACAGCTTTGATCTCTGCCTTCTAATAATTAATAAGCAGTCGGTCCAGACACAGGCGGCCATTGTTACACGCTGATCTCCATCAGGTTCTCCACCAACGCTCCCTGCGTCTCTATGTGTATGTCTCTTAGTGCGTGTCTCTTTCTCCCTGTGTGTGTGTGTGTGTGTGTGTGTGTGCGTGTGCGTGTCTCTCTCCCTGTGTGTGTGTCAGACCGAGCACAGAGGCCTCATTCTCTCCCGGTGGTGAGGAGCTTCAGGGCCTTCTGGAGGTTCTCGACGGCCGTGTCCACGTCCTCGTACTGCAGCGAGCTGCCTGCGTACTTGCAGTACTTCTGGGCCTTCGTGAAGTCCTCCGCGGTGAGGTGAACGCCGCCTGGGGGGAGAGGGGGGGTATTTAAAGCACGATTAGGAATCCCTCCTCATGAACAGACTGACCTCTGACCTCAGCGAAGAGCCTCTGACGGAGCGACGCTCCCTCTGCATTAACTGTTGTTGTTATTAACAAACTAAATGAAGTTGATAAATAATCTTCTCTGGGCTTTCAAAGATGGATTTTACAAACCAACAAACATCCTGCTGCTGAAACCGGACGGCTCGTCTCATCGATTTAGGATTTGTCTTCAAGATGAAACATCAGAGACAGAAAGAGCAAACGCACCACTTTAGGACGGATAGTGCCTGGAACATGTTGTTAGCTGCTAAGCTAAGCTAGCTGCTAGGCTACTTCCATCTCAACTATCTCATCGACCCTGCACACAGTCTGTTGTGTTGTATTCTTCTGTTTCTTGTATTTCCAGTTACGTTGTGTACTATTCTTCACAACACGTAGCGTTTAACCTATAAAACAGCGAGTGAGAGAAAGAGCTACTTCCTGTGCAGCAGGTTAAATCAGAACCATCTGCTGGGCCCCATAAAGCCTGCAGGGCCTCGGGTTACAGCTCTCGTCCTCGCTGCTCCCCGACTACCAACAGCTACTCTTTCCATTCTCCGTGATGACGGAGCTTTATTTTGAAAACACTTGTTTGGGTGATGGGAGGAAACACACTGAAGGGCTCGACTTCAGCAGGAAACCGCCAAAGGACAACGAGTATGGAAATATTAAAACCACACAGGTCCTAAAGGTCTGTTATGGATTTCAGAGGTCAAAACAAGAAGCTCATTTTTTGTGGACTATGTGGACTTTCTTTGTCATCACTTGAAACATTGTAGATACGAATAATTTGTCTGCACAAGTTTACCAGACTAGTTACAAATTGAACTATTCACATATTTCCACCCTCTGCTCTCGGCTCCTTTTTCCGACCGTCCATATGATGCGTTCAAAGACTGTCAGAAAGACGACAAGCCAACATTAAGATGCTTTGCGTCCCGGACGCCTCAGAGGGTTTATCTTCTACTGCAGAGGGAATATGAGTGAGTGCTCACCCTGCTGCTGAGGGGGGGGGGACACCAGAAGCACCGACCGGGGAACAGGCACTGGTTTCACCGCTTCTGTTGGTCAACAAAAGGACATTTACTGTCTTAGTGAAGTAGTTCAGTGAGAGAAAGAGAGAATCAGGGAGGAAGGAGCAGTTCATCCCATAAAGTCTCCGTCTCATGGAGCCACGCAGACGTCAAGGTCTTCTTTGTCTTCACGGAGACGATGTGGCAGAGGTTTGAGAAAGTAGGACATTTACAAGGTTGCAGCTCGATTGATACATTTTCAGCTACTAAGACGGAACACTTTGTCTTTATTTGTCCTCCAACTATTTACTTGGTATTAAAACGCCATTTGGACACAACGTCTAAAAGAAACACATCAGCAAACACACAGAACAAAAAAAGATCTGTTGTTAAAATTCAAACTTCATGATAAAAAAGACAAATGAACATTCCACACATGATATTGGACCTTCAGTGATTTTAATAACCAAACGCAACAATTACAAAAAAAAAGAGAACTAAAGTGTCCTAAAACTAGTCAGACAAAACCGTCACCATCAGCCACACACTCGCTTCACACCAAGTTCAACCTGGCTTCGCTTCAGCTTCTTCTTCCTCACTGCATTCTGACTCTACACACCAGCCTCACGCCGTGTGTGTGTGTCCGTGTGTGTGTGTGTGCGCTCTATTCCCAGCTGTGTAATCAATACTCAGCCTAAAGACGTTGTATATCTCACCATCGTACTTATAATAAGACTTGTTATCATGGAGTTAGAAGGCACAGAGGTCTGCTGGATTGTGATGGAGAGAAATGGAACCATGAAACTGTTCACGTGAACACGTCACAGCTGGACTCCGCTCTGCTTCGCTGAATGAAACGTCGTCTGGAGGACCTCGCGAGGACACGTACCTGCAGGGGGGGGCAGCTCGGCGGGAGTGTTGGCCGGTGCGTGGGCCCCCGGTGGGATGTGGATGTTATTGAAGTTGGTGTTTGGGGGACCAGGCGGACCCGATCCGGGACCAAAGCCGATCCCCGGTCCGGCACCTGGACCCAGACTCGGGTCGTGTTCCTCGAAGGAGCCTGCAGGCGGCCCTCCCCTAAAGGACGCCCCGTGGGAGAAGCCTTCAGCTCCGTAGTCTGCGTGAGAGAGAAGAGAGCAGCTTAGAGATACGAGTCTCTGGGAGGTGTTGATGGTTCAGGGTTTGTGCAGGATCGAGGCTCTAAAGGTCCTAAGGTCAACCTAATGAGAACTTCAACAGACCCTGCAGGTCAAAGACCGTCGCTTTCTAATGGTCTACTTCTAGACCCGTTCAGAGTCCAGCAGCCTTCATCTCCACTCTTCTTCTGGGCCTGGGATGAAGATACACTCCCAGGGAGATGTTCCTACTGAGGAAGGAGTTTGAGCTCACAGATATGAAATCACAAATGGGTTGATGCTTCTGGAGGAGGTCTGACTGAGTATTCAGTGGGTCATTAAACGGTTGGGCTGGGTTTACCCAGAGGGAGCTCGGCTCAACATCTGGCCTCGCGTCCAGGTCTAGTAGGTCAAAGACACGACGTGCCGGAGTCACTGTGGTTTGTTTAAGAGTCCGTCGGGGTGCAGAATGTTTGACTCTCCAATCAGATGATTTGGGAAGGAAACCTCCCGTCATGACTCTCAGCGAAGGTCCGTGAAGAACGCATTAAAGATTGGATCAGAACCAGTAAGAGAAACACGAGTTGTGACTGAGTTCACTTCAGGGCCCCGAGCGGCTCCATTGTGATCCACCGGTCTTACTGGTACTGTTAAGAACTTAACACCAAATTCATATAACTAGTTGGATGAGGTTTAATTTATATCTCAATGGGGAGAAGAACTTACAAGTTAAAAGCTTCTACTTCATTTAGTTTCAATCCTAGAACACATGTCAAAGTATTTTATTTTTAAACCATGATTTATTTTAGTTCGGGGACCACGGCGGTCCGGCGGCGAGCCCACGGTCATGACCGCCGCGTGGAGGGCCAGGTTTACTCCGAGAGCTAAGCTAGCTGGTAGGGCTAAGCTAGCTTGTAGCCATCAAGAGTAGAGAGCTGCTGTCATCTGGCATCCATAGACACAGCTACAAAGAAATATGTTACATTTTAATAATTGCATAGACACACATACATGTATATAAATACACACATCAGTCCTAAACTGACAGAAAGAGCTTTGTATCACAGCTGCTTTTACTTTTAATTGGGGGGTAAACAACTTGCAACTTTATCCACACACACACACACCGAAGGTCCTCCACCCTGAGGAGAAGGAGGTGCAGCTCTGAGATAACTCCACCATAACCTGAAGGGGTCCACTTGGGACTCTGCAGCATCTGGACTCACTTGTTGATTGCGTCAGCCCCCCCAGAGGAGGAGAGCCGGACCAGAACAGGAACGCATGTTGACACAAACAACCCAAGAGCTGACGTCTCCTTCCCTGAGGAGGAGAGCCTGAACGCATCGCTCACCATTACAGGCTGATTGACCCATCGCTGGCACGACGACCGCGCCGACAGGCCGTGACATCACCATGACATCATCACCTCTGGGAGCCTTCGGCTGCATGCACACTAAACGCACACTTTCATCACTCTTTAGTTATTTTCCTCTGATGCTTCTCCATCCACTCTTCTCCCGCTTGGAGGAAAAATAACTATTTAGCATTATGAGAATATGTTGCATGATGTAAATAACGCCCTCTGCAGAGCGTCCTTGAAGTACATTAAGGACACTCTAAATAAAAGATAAGGATCTGAAAGAAGAAACATCTGACGGCTTAAACCAAAGCACAACATCAGCTTCGAGGACACTCGGCAAATGTGAGGCAGAAAAATCACATCTCTGCTCTAAAGAGGAGGAAGTAAGAGCTCACCTTCCCACGCTACACCTCTCATAAGCCGACGGCACTTTACAGGCTTCAACGGACATTTTGTTCATAACAGATTCTTTCTCCTCTGGGTCCAGGGAGCTTTTTTCTTTTTCTCCTCAAAGGTCACGTTCTAAGCAGGAAGTCTGGTGCCAGAGGCCTAAAGGTCAGATCTCAATACGGTATTCTCAAAAAAGTCCTCTGGAGAAGAGGGTGAAAATGAACATAGAAGTACGTGAGTTAGAGGAATGAGCACCGAAGGTCCACCTGTCTTCATCCTCATCATTCATCGTTACCTGGGCAACATACACAATCACCTGGTCAGATATCTAGAAATGATATCAATCATGTTCCAAAGGTTCTACTCCAAATGCTGGATGAGATCAGCCTGCTGACGTCATCTCTCACAACCACAAACGTCACAAAGAATTGAATCTCAATACAGTACACACACACACACACACACACACACACACACACACACGTCTGGTAAAGGACGGGTCCAGGAGAGCCCAGGTTTGTATGTGCGTGTCCTCCAGGGACATATGGGTGTCCCACCTTCTTCCCCGTCCTCCTCCATGCCGATGGGTCCGGCCTGAGGCGTCTCCCCGTTCTTCAGACAGTTGTGGATGTAGGTGGCCTTCCAGCGGGCGTACTTCCTGTGCTGGATGTTCTGGCAGAGAGAAGAGGGGGGCACAGTAGTTATGATGTGATGTCGACTTAAAAGGACACGTTCAATGTGTGATAATCTTTACTCCATATATTAAAAAAAAGTCACAACGTTCTGCTTTCCTCTTGGTTGAATGTTAAAACAGTACAAAACACATTTGATTCAATTTTTGAAAGTATAAAACTTACTTCCTGTGTCCCTTGTGAATTACAATGTACACAAGTTATAGGGTTGGGTGGCGGTAAAGGAGGTGGAGGTACACGAGTTATTGGGTTGGGTTGCGGTAAAGGAGGTGAAGGTACATGAGTTATGGGTGGGGTGGCGGTAAAGGAGGTGAAGGTACATGAGTTATTGGGTTGGGTGGTGGTAAAGGAGGTGAAGGTACATGAGTTATTGGGTTGGGTGGCGGTAAAGGAGGTGAAGGTACATGAGTTATTGGGTGGGGTGGCGGTAAAGGAGGTGAAGGTACATGAGTTATTGGGTTAGGTGGCGGTAAAGGAGGTGAAGGTACATGAGTTATGGGTGGGGTGGCGGTTTAAAGGAGGTGAAGGTACATGAGTTATTGGGTTGGGTGGTGAAGGTACATGAGTTATTGGGTTTGCGTGGTGGTAAAGGAGGTGGGAGGTACATGAGTTATTGGGTTGGGTGGTGAAGGTACATGAGTTATTGGGTGGGGTGGCGGTAAAGGAGGTGAAGGTAGTGATAAGAACGAGAGGAGAACTCCTGCTGCTGGCTGATAAGTGCTTTGTGTCGAGCAGTCAGAAACAATGGGGTTCCTTCTTGGCTCCACTGGTGTTTGTTCAGAGTGAGAATGGCTCCCGGTAGTAATTTCTAATCACTGAACCAACACGGCTGTGACATTTTAAAGCAACGTCTTACAAACGTCACTGTGGCAACTTTTGGGGAGAAATGACTCACTGGGAAGTAATTTCGTGAGAAAGGTAAATAAACAGGAATTCTTCTGGGACGGGGAGGTACGCCTTCAAAATACTAAAAGAACACAATGTTGAAAAAAAGATTTTTATGCTCATGAGGGGGGTGGGGGGGGTGTTCAGCCAGGCTGATGGACCAGTTGGTCCATCAGCCAACCTTACACTCTTTTCTCTACTACGTCTCACATAGTGTTGTCTGTTCTCTCTCCCCTTCTTCCTCCCCGTTGGGAGGTTTGTTTCCCTTCTTATGCTCCTCTTAATTACAAAACTGCTCCCATCCTCTCCTCATTAGGCAGGAAGTCCATACGAGGCTCAGGGGGTGGAGCCATCTGGCCTCTCACCTCTCCCTGTAATCCACCACACCATGATTGAGTAATCAAATTATGATTTTTCCTTTTGCACATAAACAAAAAGACGTTTGGGATTTTAAAACGGCTGGGAATACTTTTCTTTATGAATCATTTTAATGATAAAATTAGGTGGTGCAGGGGTAGAGAGGGAGCACCGGGAACCGCAAGGAGCCATGGCGGTTCGAGCCCCGGCTGCTCCATGTCCCATGTCGATGCGTCCCTGAGCAAGACACCTAACCCCTAATGTAAAAAGCCACCATTGTTATCTGAGACCAGCTGGACACAACATCCCTTTAGTTTACATGTACGCTGTGTGGCCGTTGATTTGACTGTGATTCTTGCCCTCTACAACCTCCAGATATAGGATTCCAGATGTTGGTTTAGTAGCTGCCAAAGTTGGACCATCTAGTTCACAGACATCTGGCCTCCGCTCAGAAGATCTACAGCCTCCCGTAAAGAGCCGGTTGTAAATACCTCAGGGTTCCTCGACCCACGCTGGCTGTCTACAGACATTCAGAGATGCACATGTGGACGACGCGACTGCGTTCCTCGCAAAGGATTTGACCCATGAAGGGAAAACGGTTCCTAATAGCGCTCACACAGGAACTTGAAGTACCAGGAGGATGAGTCATGGTTATGCCCACGTTGGGTTCAAACTGGCAATTGTAGGAGATCAGGTAAGCACGGCCTTTACTTGAGCACCACATTGGCCTCGGCCCTTTTGTGTTCTTAATGAAACCCTTGCAATATGAAAGGTGACATGGTAGAACCCCTTACGTGTGCTTCCTTGCAGGTGTAAGGGCTCTGGCTGCAACCAAGGATTATCTGTAGAACCTCGTATTGGGGCTTCTGGGTGGAACCTTACACAGATGGTTCTATAGGAAACATTTGAACCCCATATGGTTGCGGTTCCTACCTTCACGGCAATGAGAGTCTGTATCATCGGAGAGAACTTTGATGGAGATGATCAGAGATGAACGATGAAGTCAAAATGAACTGTGAACAGTCGTGTCGAGTCATGAATGGTGGATCCTCAACGGTACAGATATCTGCTTCTACATTTGAGAGTCAGTCTTCTCCTCAGAGGGAAAGTTCTCCCTGAGAACCAGGGTTCAGTAACAAGGAGCCACTCACCTGATCAAAGCTCTTTAGTGAAACTCAATCAGTCCGTCTGCAGAGCATTCAGCTGCTCTGAGGACTCATTGTCCACTGTGTGTGTGTGTGTGTGCGTAAGTGTGTGTGTGTCTCCATCGGTTCAGCAGCTAACGGCCTTCTGGGTGACTTGGACTCTGCAGAGAAAGACCTGCTGTGTGTCACACATTCATGTAGAGATGAATAGCTGTGACTCACAACCTCCCAAAAGGCCTTTTACCTGCTGCTGTCCACATATAGTTGTTGAGAAAGATCTTTACAATCAGGTAAAAGAAAAAACCTGGATTCAGTCTCCCCAATAAGAACGTTTTAAACAACGTTTCATGAAGGTAGAAAAGGTTTCAGCGGGACATCTGTGGGGTCGGAATGGTTGAGAACGTTGACGTAGGAGGAGAAGAAGTAGCCGAAGGCCACATTAAGTCTAGTTTGGCTTCACAGAGAACGAGATAAAGACGTTGACTAGATGAAACTTCCCATTGTTCAGGTGTCTAGAAGATACAAAATCTACAGATGTTTTTTGTTTTAACGAATTATCGTCAGACTTCCTGCTTCATGGGGAACATTCGCTGCATTCTGGTGATGACTATCGCCTCTTATCTTACCTCCTCCGACAATTCCCCGAACACAGACAGGACGTCCAGCAGCAGACTGGCAGAGTAGAAGGACTTGATCATGTTCCTGCAGGAGTGGAGGACAAACAAACCATTTTAAACTATTAGTTGAGTGATCTAGAGAGACTTTTCCTACATCTCATGAATGAAGGAAAACAGACTTCTGTTATCTTACGGAGCCTGAAACTTTTAATCTTAACTCAAGGTTCCAAAGCCGCTCAACTTCCGCGTTTCTTCAGCAACCAGTGAACAAGAAGTGACCATGTAAAGGACTGAGGAGGACGTGGAGACTGTGTTCACGTCTCTGGTGGAGACCTGTCAATCACAGTAAGCCCCGCCCTAAAGCAACCTCTAAGCAGAGGTGTCAAAAATGACAATTTGGAATGAAAACAAGCCAAAATGAAATATGAGTAATGAGGCTGTTTTGAAAATGAAAGGAGTAGAAAGTAAAAAGTCTGAAAAAGAAATACTCCAGTATAGGTATAGGTACCCCAAATCTCTACCTAAGTAAGGTAACAAAGTATTTGTACTTGGACACCTCACACATTCAGTTACATCCTGACCTCGGATCAGCTTATGCTAAAATAACCACGGCGTGTGGAGCACGGATTGAGAGAGACCAGAGGTGTGTCACTCTGTGTCACCTGGCACTCAACATGTAAACTCCGCCTTAATTAGACTAAATATCCGCATGTTACTGACTCATCACCTTTAACAGCAGCAGCAGGATGTGACGTCACTGATACGACACCTTAGTATAAATATTGTGTTCTGGGTGTAAAGCACACGCACAGCGTGCGGTGAGGAGCATGAATGGCCCCCTTGTGAGCTGCAACATTTAGGAGGAAGTTTCCCATAAACATTCACCTCAGAGCCTCAACGTGTGTGTGTGTATTTAAGCCTGCGGATATGTGACTAAATGTGTATCCGTGTTTGTATGTGGCTGAGTTTTCTATGTTGGTGACACAACACGGACACCTGTTGTCCTGGTCCACCGAGTCCTGGCGACTCCTCTGCTCCCATAGACGTCTATGAGGAAATGACTCTACTTCTCTGTAGTGACCAGCAGGGGGCGACTCCTCTGCTCCCATAGACGTCTATAAGGAAATGACTCTACTTCTCTGTAGTGACCAGCAGGGGGCGACTCCTCTGCTCCCATAGGCGTCTATGAGGAAATGACTCTACTTCTCTATAGTGACCAGCAGGGGGCGACTCCTCTGCTCCCATAGACGTCTATGAGGAAATGACTCTACTTCTCTGTAGTGACCAGCAGGGGGCGACTCCTCTGCTCCCATAGACGTCTATGAGGAAATGACTCTACTTCTCTGTAGTGACCAGCAGGGGGCGACTCCTCTGCTCCCATAGACGTCTATGAGGAAATGACTCTACTTCTCTGTAGTGACCAGCAGGGGGCGACTCCTCTGCTCCCATAGACGTCTATGAGGAAATGACTCTACTTCTCTGTAGTGACCAGCAGGGGGCGACTCCTCTGCTCCCATAGACGTCTATGAGGAAATGACTCTACTTCTCTGTAGTGACCAGCAGGGGGCGACTCCTCTGCTCCCATAGACGTCTATGAGGAAATGACTCTACTTCTCTGTAGTGACCAGCAGGGGGCGACTCCTCTGCTCCCATAGACGTCTACGAGGAAATGACTCTTGATTTATTCCCTCAGTAAACGAGTTTATGGTCTCAGTCTCTAGTTTACAGTCTTCTTCAATACAACATGATGTTCATTTAGTGACTGATGGTCCATTTAGAGTCAAACAGACCATGAAGCAGGGGACACTTTAGGGCGGGGCTAGACAATGATTGACAGGTCTCTCTACAGTCTCTCTGGTGGCCTCGGTCCTTATATGGTCACTTCCTGTCCTGAGGACAGAATAAGAGAGCAGAGGACTCAAGGAAGAGAGGAGAGGACTCAAGGAAGAGAGCAGAGGAAATGTCCCTTACTTGTGGAAGCGTCCCTGCCGGTCCTCGTTGTCGGCGTAGAGGAACATCTTTAAGGCATAGTTTTCGACGTGGGCGTTACCCACCACCTCCTGACTGATGGAGTCGTTCTCACCCAGCTCCTTCTTCATCTGGAACACAGATACAAACCATGAAGCTGGAGAAGAGCTGGTGACGCAGTGATTGGCTCAGACTCTCATTGTGAAGTCTGCACTGAGGGCTTTATCGCAGGTGATCAGTGACCGACGCACCACAACACCACCCTCTTATTGACAGACTTCTTCATCAGGTGGAGAACAAACAGAAAGCTGACGTGCTGCTTAGCAGAAAGGAGTCTGCAGATGGAAACGTCTTAGTCATGTTCAGACCTTCTAACGCCCCCCATCACGCTTCCAGCTCGGCTTCAGGTGTCATGTAAAACCACTAAAAGCAAACAAGCTGGTTCCCTCCAGCAGGTGGACTGAGCAGCCTCAATGGACACAGTGTTCACTGTGTGTGTGTGAGGAATGTAAACCACTGGCTTCAGTGCAGAGTGAAGGAAGGACACCTGGTCAGAGGCGATCAAAGGAAACTGGACACCGTCTCTCTCGTTCGCTTTCCGCTAGAAACTGGACTTTAAGTGATTAGAAGAACCTTTAAATGTTGGAACGTAAAATGGAGTCTGCACGAACCAGCGAGCGATACGTCGACTTTTAAGTCGCTTAGTGTGCGATGTATAATATATATACACACACACACACACACACACACGTAGATGTAAAGACACACACCAAAGCAGCAGATGTGAGTTCTGTTTACGTCTTGAGTGTGTGACAGTAATGAAGATCCCGGGAGTTCCTGTAAAAACCTGTGTGAGCGTGTGTGTGTGTGTGTGTGTGTGTGTATGTGTGTGTGTTTACGTGTGTGTGTGTGTGTGTGTGTGTGTGTGCGTCCTCGTCCACTGCTTCTCTTAATTGGCTCTTAAAGTGAGTCCAGCATCGCTGCGGAGACTTTCCGCCACCTCCCCTTCCTCCCCCTTCCAATATTCACGTCTCCTGTCTCTCCCCCCCTCCCCCCTCCTCCTCCTCCTCGGTCACCCGCTTGTTAAAAGCAGAGGAGGAGAATTTTTTTTTATGTTTCTCATTACATAAACTGAATCCTTACAAAGCGGCACTCCGGAGGGAGTATCAGTAGCCGAGATCAGCATCAGCTCCGTCTCTTAAAAGGCTCATCTGTTTGACTCCGCTGGGACGCGCCTGCCCCCCCCTCCCCCCCCTCACAACAACTCCATATGGTGTGATGAGTGCGTCCTGTTGACGAGCAGCCATGTCAGCGGGAAGCTGTGGGACCGAACATGGACATATTACATATATACAATCATCACAGGGTGAAAGAGGCCGAGGGACGACGTGTCCTCGAGGTGGAGATCGTGCAGAGTGTCGCTGTGACAGTATATACGTCTGGTAGACCTGTCAATCAGTGTGTATCCCCGCCCTAAAGCATGTGAAATTGGGAGAGAATCTGGTCATTTTTCTAAATAAAATATTTTTCAGGGAAAAAAAAGGTACATGAAAAAGAAATGAGTAATTCATCATTTCTTTGTGTGCGGCACAAAGTCATTCCTCTGGACTCAATGAGGTCATTTCACAGTACAATGGCTCCATCGGCCCCTTTTCTACAGAAGAGAACCTCAGGCAGCAATGTGAGGGCAGCAGCTGATTGGCCCGTGACCTGTAGTGTGAAGAGGGGGAGGGACCTACCGTCTCCAGCTGGTCCATGAGCTTCACCAAGAACTTCCTGCACTCGGGCGTCTTGCTGTCCAGCTTCATGCCGGTCTGCATGGCGTAGAGCCGACCTGCAGGGGGGGGGGGGTTATTAGATGTGGTTTTAAGTCCTTTAAGATCAAACAGAGAGCCGCCAGGACCCCCCCACTCCCTCAGCTGTCAATCAACTTGTCTGAGGTCAGTCTCTCAAGCTGGATGACCTGTTCAACCCACAATGCATCGGGGCAGCGCATCGTGCTCTGGCTGAATCACCTTTGGTGCTTGGAGCGCAAGTTATCAATAACTAATAGAATGCATTAGTTCACCTTTGACCTTCGGACTAGTGGATTAGTTGGACTGTAGATATACACAAATGATTGAATTAAAGACGACAAGCTCCGCCTCTCAACTATGTATATATTTGCACACGTATATTTACGTACATGTCGACATCCTGATAACATTTGTCTCATGTTCACAGAGCAGAGCCTGAATGCAGTCATCAATGTCTGTGATCAGATCACATCCCGTCTGTTCAAACCAGGACCAGGTCCTGGCAACGAGCCTCACGCAGCCGGTGGTCCTGCTCACTGAAACACAGCTTCACGGCGCCTCAACTTCGTGGTGACGCGTCACTTTTGATCGACGGCGTTTCTCATCTTGAGATGGATTCAGGCCGACTGACGGACCTCCGGGACATCGGACGCGTGAGATGAAGAAGTGTGGGCGATTCGCCTCCTTCAGTGAGGAGGACACACCACACGAGTGTGAGCGACGGGAGCAGATGGAGAGCAGGAGAGGCGTCGTCATGGTGACCCACGTGAGGGGTACGTGAGATTTTTGTATTCGTTTTGTGAATGAATTTAAAATTTGCATCCATTTCAAAAATCATTTTAGAAATAATTATTTAATAAATATTCAATAAGTGCAAGTTCATAAACTGAATATGTATCTGTATATTGTTGATCGGACCACCTGGTGGTCACTAGAGAGAACGCACAGGTCGTCTCCTGGTTCTTCTCTGCACGCCATTAAAAGGAGAAAAAAGGTTTAGCGCCATCGTTGTTGATCTGAAGCCAGAATGTGCTGCTGATGAACACAGAGGTGAGCAGACGGAAGGACATAAAACTCTGACACTCTTCCCTGAAGTACTTACTCAATTCACCCTCCGGTCAACACGGGACAGAAACCACACAAACAACAACGTACTAGAGGGACTGAAGAGGACTTGTCGTGACTCACACGTCAAAGAGCACGCGCACACGCACACGCACACACAGTGCTGCTGCCCTCCAGTGGTGGGGCTGGATTACTGATCCACTCCAGCACACACCCGGTCCACATGCCAAACAGCACTCGTCACCCAACGGGGGCCGCATGCCAAACAGCACACGTACATCTGCACCTCGCTGTTCCCTGCAGGTTGGAGGACGTGATGAGATCATCAGTCACATCCACCACCAGTGACAGAATGATGGAAGTTAATCCACTTATGTCCTTTCAGGGAGGGTGGGGACACTAGCTCATTTCATCCACCAAGTACGCTGTCTGAGGACAAAGACATCCCAGGAGCTGCTCTAAAGGACATCAGGCCAACCACATGTATCAGAGTGTTACAGCTCGTTAACACGGATACAGAGTTCTGATCATACAGCGCGTCACGTGTCACATGGTGTCTCTACGGCGGCTGGACAAGGATGAGAACACCGCTCATCAGGTGCATGCTTCCACTAGAGCCGGTTTACCGGCTTTCATGCGGAAAAAACACAAGCCTTCATCTTTCTCATTGAATGCTTCGTTTCCGCCTGTTTCAGTGGATCTGTGTTGCTCGGCAACGGCGTCAGTCCATCCCTACTTCCTGTCAACTGTGTCACTGCAGCTATAAATAAACTAGGGACTTACTGCTTATACACACACACAAACACGCACACACAAGTGTGTATATACACATGTATGTGTATAAACACACACCACACATGTATGTTTATACACCTGTATATATGTGTGTGTGTATACACATTTGATATACATCTTTGGGAAGTTTGGGCCTCAGTGGAAAGCTCAGATACTGTATCTGCATGAATACATAATATACAATTAAAAATCCAGATCCAGAAGGTCTTCTCACATTTAGCCGCATACCTTCTGTTCTACCAACAGATGGAAAGTCCTACAGTGACGTCACAGTGTGTCCCAACGTGTGTGACACTCCCGTCTCTATAGGTGTGAGTCATAAATCACCAGGAGAAGAACCAGTTTAACCTGAAGTCTGCATCAAGCACCAGTCTGATACTGGTGCTTTGTACTGGTAAACACACACACACACACACACACACACACACACACACACACACACACACACACACACACACACTGAACAGATCCTCACTGAGAGTATTTATAAGGCTTCAACTAAACGTGTTGATCAGTAAAATGTCAATGAGAAAGGAAGACGAGGAAGACAATTACGAAGCAGCAGAACATATAAATATCAAGTAGTGGAACTACAAGTACCTCGTAGTCAAGCGTAGTACTTTGAATAAATTAAGTGACGTCAGAGTTCAGCGCATCAAGGAAAGTGACGACGGAAAGTCCCCAATGACTGCTGTCATGACGTCATACGGCAATCGAACTTTGACCCGTCAAAGATAAAAGTACCAGACGTGTGCTTAGCTGACGTTAAGAGTTTCATAGAAACATTGTGAAAGTCACAGTTTAAACAGAAGCTAACGGCTAAGCTATCACAACAAAGCTACGATGCTAACAGCGGCTGGGGCTAACAGCTAGCCGGCACGCAGTACAAACAACTCACAGTAGTAAGCCACGACCGGGTCCCGTTTCTCGTGTTCCTGAGCGGTCCGCAGGTAGTGCTGGATGGCTCTGAGCTGGACCGGTAACGCCATGTCTTCTCCGCGAGAGTCCAGAAGACATCCGCGTCCAGAAGAGTTGTTGTTAGCTAGTGTTCACTTCCGCGTGTGTCAACCAATAGGAGCGGCAGCCGGCGCGGGACAGGTGACGTCACCGGCTGCTCCTTTTAACTCGTAGAAAAATGTTGGGGGGGTTTAGAGGGTATTTTTGTTGATTATTCTCGAGACTTTTTGCGATGAGCTATTTTCTTTCTGTTTGTCATCATGAGTTTTTAAGCTCAAAGCTATTTGTCATCTGCACAACAAGAAAAGCAGCTGTATTGAAGAAAGGTCATTATGCAGAATCCTAACTTGGAGCAGAAGTTTAAAAATATATGAAATATTATGTATGTGTGCGGTAAACTACAGGAATGCTGTAAAAGTTTCAGGCTAAAGAGAAAGATCTGGATCTGACAAAACCAACAAAAGAGCTGTACAGACATATTGTTTCATTTTTTTCTCTGCCAATATAACTTGATAGCCCTTGTTAGCCCTGCGATTGGCTGGCGACCAATCCAGGATGTACCCTGTCTATCGCCCGAAGTTGGCTGGGATGGACTCCAGCCCCCCCGCGACCCTGTCTGCAGGATAAGCGGTTTGACAACGGATGGATGGAATATGACTTGATTTGTGCGCACATAATTTAGGCTTTATAAATTGTTCTATTCTACATAAAAAAGTAGAAGCATGAACGGAAACAAGTCTCTGTCCTGTGTGTCGGTTTCTTTAGGCAATCAAAAAGAGTATCCAGAGAAATGCTGTTAACATAATGAGGAATCCATAATCCATACGTCTCCCTGCTCCTCAGGGATCTGCAGCCGACTGATGAGTGCGTTCGGCCTTCGTGCCCGTTGCTGCTAACTTAAAGGTCAACCAGGGCCACTGGGTCTTTGTCTCCGTAGTGGACCACACCAGAGAGTCTGGGGGGTTATTTAATTATTTAATTGTTTTTCAGAAGGGAGTGAATCTCAGCAATAACATTTGAGTATTGAGAAAGAATTTCCAGTGTCAGCAGACATTGGTATCCATGGAAACGGATGAGGTTTAGTAAATATTATTGTACATTTTTAATCAATCATCTCAAGACTAAACAAAGTAGAAGAACCGGTGACAGCAGCACTAACACAACCATCTGTGAGTCAGCGTTAAATAAAGTGAAAGGAAATAAATAACAAAATCAAAGAAACAGTCGTGTAGCCTCCTAAATTATATTTGATCGATAAATTACGCAGATATTAATGGTCATAATGAAACACCACGATATTAAAAAACATTTTGTAAATAGTTCTCAATATTCCCCTGAAAACAAGCTGACAGTTCAGTTCATAAACCTTTTTTTTTAACCCGTTGAAAGTTGCTGAGAAAATTGCCTGACCGGTGAGTTCTATTTCCCCCAGAGACCTGAGCAGCACAGATGTTGACCTCCTCGTGTCCACGAGGCCCACGTCTCAGTGACACAACCTTCTGAGGCACAGAAGCACAGGAGCCCCTCGCCGCTTCCAGACCCTCCCAAAGCCCCACAGCGGCGGTGGGACCACAAAGTCCGTTAAAGGGTCACAAGGATTGATCCACTTTTGTCTGGTAATGCGATGTTGTACCTGAGATGATAAACAGATTGCTGAAAACTTCATAACAAAAGTTGGATGGATGTCTGATTAAAAAAAAAAAAGACCAAACATGAGAGGTAATATTTTACAGAATACATCGACAGTGACACCGAAGACAAAGTACAATGAGTGATGCTGAAAGGTGGTGGAGATCTCTCCATGAGGAGAGATGGTTGAGGATCAAACTGCTCAACCGTCGCTTTAAATGTTTCTGACTAATTCATCACTTTAAACGTAACAGTAATTACGTCGTATACGAGACTTGTGCTCTGAAGACTTTGTCTCTGCTCATTCCATGTCTCTGCAGCGACATTGCACCCAGATGTTGGGGGCATCTCACCTGGGATGTTGCAACATCCAGAAGAACAAAGGTGCAGAATTTCTTCTTACTGGCAGTTCAGGATTTTTTCAGTGTCTTAAAAACATTGAAACCTGTAATACTGTTAAATATTTGATGGATTTTCATTCCGAGACATTTTTTATCAAATTGTGAATGATGTGTGTATGTATGATGTCAGTGATCCTTCTGTCTGTGAGTCCTCAACAAAGCCCCCGTGATGGAGGCAGATGTCAAAGGGCCAGAAGACACAACGTGAAGACATGAGTGATGTCCCGCCGCCTGAGGACCAGCGGACGTGGTGCTGCCGCCAGTTGGATGATTTGTATCGTCGGCTGTAAGTACGTTAACTTAAGACCGCTCTAATCTCCTCAAACAGCCATGTTGAGGTTAAAGGGAAGAAGCATCCGGCAGCGTCGCACGTCACTCATTTAACGGGGTTGTTTCAGCCATCGTGTGGAAATAGAAAACCAGAAGTCTGTCTGTTCCGTGGACACGGCCAGTACAGAACCACTGATGTGTGACACAAAACACAGAGAGAACGTTACGGACCTGACAGCTGTTACGCTGTCGCACGTTCTCACATTTCATGGTGCAACTCCTGATGGACCAACATCAGCGTCCTGTTCTAGAAAGGTCAAGCAGCAGTAAACCCTGTAGAAACAGCGTCTCGTACATATATTATATATATATATATATATATATTAGTAATCTAACATGTACCCGGGTGCACGTGTCACTGGTTGTTGAGGTAACCGAGACGTCGGCACAGTATCTCGAATATCTCGGCGACACAGAGGAGAATGGTGATGACGGTGAAGGTGTACATGGCACTGAGGAAGATGGTTTTCTCAAAGTGTTCTGGCACCATGCACCTCGTCACGTTAAAGGTCTTTTCCAGAGAACTGGCGTCACACATGAACACCGGGTGGACCTGGGGGACAAAAAAAGAGAATCTCGTCTTAAATTCCAATCCTTATTTCTCTCTGATCGATTGAACCCTGGGAAATATACATAGCTGAATAATATTATCAGCCTTATCATTGATTTACACTGATTTGCTACCTAGCATGTACAGAGCGAGACAACGCCATTCTTTTATTTAGTCACACGGGGTCTTTGGTGGGGCCAGCGATGATGGATCGCTGGTTCCAGGAACCGTGTTTAAATGCTAAGAGCTGGCACAAGGATGTACATTCCTCCACACTGTGGCATCGTAGGCAACAGTGAAGGTGGATGCGTGGAGGACTCTGCCTCCATCCACCTCTTTGGTCCATCACAAGCCGTCTTCTTCTCGTCCATTGGCTGCAGTCGCGGAGCCGCAGTGTCCAGCCCACTTGATCTTTAGTAACTAACCAGGGAGCCAATAAAATGCTTCATAGCATTTGGACATTTTGACACTTGTCGGTGTCTCCAAAGGGCGGCTTGCCCCACAAAGTTCAATGTTCTGTGGATCCTGATTATATGAATCCACTATTATATAAGAGTGTCCTCCAGGCCCATTTCTTTACAGATGCTGCAGGTAGAAAGAGGGGCCTTTGGAAACTCATGCTGAGAGAATAAAACTCCCTGGCTGGCCAAGGAGAGCTTTGGTCTCCCCCCAAAGGAACTGGAAGTATTCCAGGACAAGCCCTCTATTGGGTTCATCGTGTTAGGAATGTACAGACCTGGAAGCCAAAGAGGTGACTTTGCAGCCAGAAGGCGATGACTTCCAGGATGATGCGTAGAAGAACAGAAATGATGTAGTACACGGTGTAGAGGGGGCGCTCCAGGATCTCTTCCTGGTCGATGTTCTTACAGGCTGCGTAGAGGTGAAAGACCGCGCCCGGGACCAGCACCGTCACCAGTTGTAACGCCCAAAAAACCTGTAGAGTGCAGCAAGAAGGGGACGGGTGAGTGAGAAAGGCCAACGGTAAGAGACCCTGCGATGCAGAATAGAGGGAGGGACCCTGAAACGTATGATGGAAGACAGCGAGGAAGAAGCAAACAACACATGAAAAGAGTAATTGTAAATTCATTTTTCATCACTCGTCACATTGTTGCCAGCCAGACAATGCAGGTAAATAATATAATAATATATATAATAATATGACATGTTTCTCCTCTCACAAATCTCACATTTTCTAGCAATGTGTAAGAACTGTGGTGCGGTTTTCAGGTCAGAATATGATGTCGGAGGACTGAACAGATTATTCCAGAACGCCTCGGGGTCGGTGGGCGGAGCCTCTACCTGGGGGGTTATGGGTCTGAACTGGTTGTAGCAGTACAGGTTGAGCTCTCGGCGATCCGGGTCGCAGCTGAAGTGCAGCGCCTCGTTTCCGTAGACAGCGAAGCCGAGGACGCCGAGGAAGAACATCCGCACCGAGCCGAAGAACAAGGTGTGGAACTGTCCGATCACCGTGGGAGGCCTGAGCTGGAACACGCACACAGACGTGAACGCTCAGAGAGACAATGATACGCGTGTGCATGCTCATTACTGAGTCACGGACACACACACACACACATACAAAAACATACATGATGTGTGCACAAAGAGTCACACAGTCCGAGAAAAAGAGACAAAGAGAAAAGAGCTTCTGTCAACCGGCCAAAAGGTTCAACTGAGGCCCCGAACCCCCCCTACCTGTTCCCCTCCAACACCAACGTCCAATCACGTTCACCACAAACACGACCAGAGCAAAGGACATGAAATCCCAAAACTCAGAGTGATCTATCGATCCATATCCCCCCTCCTCCCCCCGCGGCCCCTCTGTGAGGGGGACATCGAGGGTCCGGAGCTCCGGGATCTACTCACGCAGCCTTCGTAGAAGTTTCGGATGTAGTTCAGAGACATGGTTGGCCTGCTGACGTCCCCTGTTTAAGTCCGGGCTGCTCTGGGCCCCCATGCTGGCACCGGTTAGAGGCCGACACCAATAAGCCCACCGAGTCTCCAGCTGACACCCCCCCTACACTCCCCCCTCCCTATGTCCTGAAAGCCCATGTCAATGCATATTTGTTTGCCTTTTATCCCTCCATCAATTGACTCGCTCAGTAGAAAAAGGACAACAGAGACAATGTGCCGGTGTGGGGGGGGGGGGGGTAGAACTATGTCAGCAAAAATACAACCTCCTGTCACACACAAAGCAGAGAGAGAGAAAGAGAGATGCCGAACATGCAACAAAAAAATAACTTCCATCCAACTTTTGATGGTATTCTAAAGATCTGGAGCTTTATTTTGAAAAGCTGCTATTGCGATACGAGTTGAAAACCATTATTTTGATAAACTTTCCTTTTTTAAAGTGACTTTTTGAAGTAATTTGTTCACAGTGTCTTTGACTAAATGACAATCGCAATATGAAGTGAGACGATACGACAACACACACACACACACACACACACACACACACACACAGTAAATACTGTCGTCCTGATTCCTTGAGCCACTGTCATAGAAGAAGAAAAGCACAGACGGAATAAACTAGGAGAGAAAATCAAATCCACACACCAGGCGCAGTCCTGGCGGCGTGTTGTTCATCGCCGCACGTTCTGTCTCCACTGCAGGATCCCCAACTCATCCCAGCCGGTGGGTCAGAGAGCAGAGTCAGGATGAAATACCCCCAGGCACTTCCTGTCACACCTTTCAAAATAAACACAGAGCAGAAACTAAGACGGGGGAGGGGGACATAAGACAACAGGTGTATTACCAATGATATCATTGGTAATACACATATATATATATATATATATATATATATATATATATACACATTTTCCCACATTAGTTTATAATATCTACTATAGTTTATTTTGAAAGTCTATGTGTTGCGTCACAGGTCATATTTGTTGAGGACCTCTTTCCTATATATATATATTTATGTTTGTTCACTTTTATAGACAGAGCTTTGTGTTCAGATTCAAACTAGTGCTGTCCTTCGCTGTGAGGAAACACTGCCATCTGTGACACGCACACACACACACACACACACAGACACACACACACACACAGACACACACACGCCTGTCAAAGGGAACTTGCGTCCATTGGTGCTCTGCAGCTCCAGATGGCGACATTGGCCTTCAAACCTCAGCCGGCTGAGAGGAGTGTTGGAGGGAGAGAAGCTGGTGGATCATAATTCGTTGGCCTCCCTTACAACCGGACCCTTTTCCACTCATTCAAATGGGCGTCAGCGGCAAGAAGCACTTGTGAGAAATGGAGTGACCTCCAGAGCTGTTAGAGTGACTTTACCCCTGAACCTGCTCGGCTCCCTGTGGGTTCTACTTTAAGTGCTTCTTCATGGTCAAGCAGCTCAATAAGAGAATATCAAGCAGGAGGAGAAACATGACTGATCTATTTTCTGTGTTGGTGGCTTCCCTCCCTTTCCCCCCTCGGAGGAAACCTGGACATTTAATGGCACTCTGAGATAAAGACATACAGGTATGAGCAGAAGACAAACCCGGGTCTCCACCCATTTTATCGTTATTACATTACAGCTCATTTAGCTGACGCTTATATCCAAAGTGACTTACATTGCAGTTTTAACTCATGGCTTTTTACATTTTGGGGAGCAATTAGGGGTTTGGTGTCTTGCTCAGGGACAGTTCGACATGGAGCAGCTGGGGCTCGAAATTTGAGGTTCCCGGCGCACCCTGTCTACCCCTGCACCACGTCGACGCATATGTTACAGATAGGACTGGTTCAGGTTTATAGTTAGGGCTGGTTCAGGTTTATAGTTGGGACTGGTTCAGGTTTATAGTTAGGGCTGGTTCAGGTTTATAGTTTGGGCTGGTTCAGGTTTGTAGTTAGGGCTGGTTCAGGTTTATAGTTAGGGCTGGTTCAGGTTTATGGTTGGGACTGGTTCAGGTTAATACTTAGGGCTGGTTCAGGTTTATAGTTAGGGCTGGTTCAGGTGTATAGTTGGGACTGGTTCAGGTTTATAGTTAGGGCTGGTTCAGGTTTATAGTTTGGGCTGGTTCAGGTTTATAGTTGGGACTGGTTCAGGTTTATAGTTTGGACTGGTTCAGGTTAATAGTTGGGACTGGTCTGGGCTCAATTAGGGCCGGTCTAGGTTTTAGGTTTAGGGCTGTCTCAGTTTTAAATTTTGAACGGGTCCAGTTTTAGCAGCGGGGGCCTCCGCGGATAAAAGCCCCCCTCCCCCCCCCCCCCCCCCGCTCCCTCCCTCTCATCCACTATATTTTCCTTCTTCAAACATTTAGCCATTTCTGTTATCTCTGCTTCATTTTCTTCACCGTTGTTCTTTTTATTCTCTCCATCACTCTTCTTCCTCTCTCTTTTATTGCCATATGTGTTTCAGATCTCTCAAACAAACACACACACACACACACATTCGAGAGAGAGAGGGAGAGGGAGGAAGGGAGGGGGAGGAAGGGAGGGGGGTCATTATTTTACCAGTGTCAAAGGAACCTCCTTCTCTTTATGAGCGTCACCCCTCAGTCAGTGAGAGGAGAACATCTCACATGAACTCATCTTAGTCAAAGTTTCTCTCTCCTCTCTGGTTTGTCGGAGTAAAAAAGAAGAAGAAAACCCGCCTCCGTTGGGTCTTTTACGCGCGGAGCCCCCCGCTGCGCGCCCCGCAGTGCCCCGCTCCCTCAGCTGATCCCCCCCGGTGATGGACGACGACTTCCTCTCCAACCTTCCCCCGTCCCTGCCCGAGGCTCTGAGCCCCAACTCCACCGAGGAGCCCGGCGGGTGGGAGTCCTCGGACAGCGGGGAGACGGTCCACTTCGTCGTGCGCTGCGTCATGACCTCGGTCTACACCCTCATCATCACCGTGGGCCTGCTGGGCAACATCACCCTGCTGAAGATCTTCGTCACCAACAGCGCCATGCGCAGCGTGCCCAACATCTTCATCTCCAGCCTGGCGGCGGGAGACCTGCTGCTGCTGCTCACCTGCGTGCCGGTGGACGCGTTCCGCTACTTCTCCGAGGAGTGGGTGTTCGGCGAGGCGGCGTGCAAGCTCATCCCCGTCATCCAGCTCACCTCGGTCGGCGTGTCCGTGTTCACGCTCACGGCGCTCAGCGCGGACAGGTAGGACGAGGCTCGCTCGCGGTCCATCGTGACGTCATCACTCGCACGGTTGTTCTTAATGTGAGCAGAGAGCAGTCATGGATCCGCGGGTCTGCGTCTTCTCCTAAAATGATCCAAAGTACTCAGAGAGCGACCTGGTCCACGCGTTTCTATCCCACATGAATCATGGAGATCGCAAATATCTCAATAGAAGCAGGTATTGTAAATATACCACAGTAGTTTTATAAAATATGAGTTATGAAAGTGAGTTCAGTTCTCTGTGGGCTGCAACATTACAGGTATTAAGTCGATGTTAAGGCATTCGCTTGGATGCCACTTTATCAGGTTACCATAGAAACCACATATTAATCTCATATTAAGACATGCTGCTTCCACGTCTCTAACATCTCAAGATGCGTTGTTTTAACAGATAATAAGTTCTCGTGTTTGTTGATAATGACGGTTCTCTGATCATTGAGATGTTTAAAGCTCTTCTTGAGATTATTTCATGTTGTTGCCTTTAGAGAGGCTCTCTGCTCACTGAGCACAGCTCTGTCTTCTTCTGCTAACATCAGCTGCCTCCTGCTGGCATCGATGCTCTGCTCCTATGGGCCCCTTTTGGGGAATTGATGTGCAGCTGAGGAACACCTGATGTTCTCACAGTGAGAAACACCTGCTGCTCTCACAGTGAGGAACACCTGCTGCTCTCACATTGAAGAACACCTGATGTTCTCACAGTGAGGAACACCTGATGTTCTCACAGTGAGGAACACCTGCTGCTCTCACAGTGAGGAACACCTGCTGCTCTCACATTGAGGAACACCTGATGTTCTCACAGTGAGGAACACCTGATGTTCTCACAGTGAAGAACACCTGATCTTCTCACAGTGAGGAACACCTGATGTTCTCACTGTGAGAGGTGGGCTTCCAGGATTCGTTCACAGATGTAGAGTCTGGTTATCGCTGCTGGAGCGCAGGAGACAGAAAGGCCTTTGGATTGATGAAGAGAAGGTTGACAGAACGTTGATGATTTCATATTGTCCTCCCTCCACTCTGGTCTTTACATCTGCCCTTCATCATCATTGAAGATGAACGCACGTGGACTGTTAGTAAAGAGGACATTTCTCTTGAGTGACGTCTCCTTGGGACGTTGAAGAGATACTTGTTTTTAGGTCAGAACATCTTAAAGAAGTTTTGAAGGTGAAGACAAAGGAACCATTTTCAAAAGTGAGGATTTGTTTTCAGAAGTTTGGTCAAAGTCATAAAGTTAGCCATGAAATATGAGGGTGTCTTCGGGACGTGGGGACAGCGTGGACATTTCTGTCCAGTAAAAATATTTACTGGCATATTTTTCAGATAAAAGGGGACATTTTTTAGAAAGTGAGGACATTTGAAAAAGACAAAGGTGAGGATCTCCTCAGAATATGAGGACAGTGGGGACCTTTTTGAAATGATGGAAAGAGGACATTTATTTAGACAGCAGTATTGTCCTCCCTTCTTCACATGGACATTTCTAAAGGCTTAATGTGTGTGTGTGGTTTATAGAGTTATAATAAACTAGATATTGCTTCAGGATCCTCACGTGAATAGAAATGCAGCTCACTTATGTCCCCGAGCATGAATCATTTATAATAGCTGCCATGTTTAAAGACCTCCGTCCGTCCGTCCGTCCGTCTGTCTGTCTGTCAATCAGGGTTTGCCTCTCAGTCCTGAGTGTGTGTGTGTGAGTGTGTGTGAGTGTGTGTGTGGGTGTGAGTGTGTGTGTGGGTGTGTGCATGTGAGTGTGTGTGTGCGTGTGAGTGTGGGTGTGTGTGTGTGTGTGTGTGTGTGTGTGTGTTTGTGTGTGTGTGTGTGTGTGAGTGTGTGTGTGTGTGTGTTTGTGTGTGTGTGTGTGTGTGAGTGTGTGTGTGTGTGTGTGTGTCCACTAGAGACAGACTGGATGAGAGATTAAATGATTGTGATGAACTACATGAAGACAGAACAATGAAGATTCAAATTGAATCTAATCGGAAGGGAGAAGCAGAGAGTTGGAAAGAGGACGAAGACGAGAAGGAGCAGCAGGTTCCACAAAGCAGGTGGGGGGGCTCAGCTTTCAGTGAAGGTCACATGGATGTTTATGCATCGCCGTGTGAATATATGAATGAAGACAGCAGCGATGGCGAAGCTTCCAAAAGCTAAGAAATCAAAAAAAGACCCGCCCCCAGGAGAGGCTCCTCCTCCGTCTGGCAGACCTCGCCGCTGTTGACCAATCAGGGGGCTCCACACCGGCCAGGTGTTAATGGACTTCATGCTTATGACTTGTTTCTGTATGCTGGAGTCTGGTCACCATCCCACAAAGCCCTGCCTCCGTGTCCATGTGAGGCGCCCTGCACCCCCCACATGAGGTGGAGACGTGACCTCTAGACCCTCAGAGATGCAACCTTAGGGAGGAAGAGGCCGCCCATGCAGTGTGTAGATATATCTGATTCATGGTGGGGGGGTAGAAAGAGTCCTCACAGAGACACCACCGAAAATATTATGCGGCTGAAATGTCTCGTTCAGAGAGAAGAATGATATGCTGGATCATTCTGCTTTGGGGCAGTTTTATTTTTAATTATTGTTGTTATTGTTTGCATGCTGGGAGCAGCAGAGTGTTGATGCATTCAGGTCTGGACTCTGGTCTTGGACCCGAGTGCTGAAGGCTGCACGTGGGTCTCCTGCAGTGGAGGTTAAAGGTCAGCACATTCTCCGTCTTCTGAGCAGCTCAAACCTTCACACAGGTGATGCCCGACCTTCACGAGTGTCTCACTTCAGCACCACGTCTCTGAGCTCCAATGCTCTACGTCCACCTGAGGGACGTCCGGATGTTAGAAACACGGGCCAAGTGCTTTCTGATGTGACTCAACGTCTTCAGCAGGGAGTGGACCGTGGCAACGCGCTGTGTCCCGATGCCCCTCCACCTCCTGCTGTTACCGGACACCGTGGGGGCCCCCGGGAGGCAGCAGGAAGTGAATGAGCGCTTAGTGGAAGCTGCAGAGGTTTCCTGTTCCCGCTTCAGTCCGTCCACCTAAAACGCTGTTTGATCAGCCCGTTAACGGGAAGCTCGTTTGCTCATCGCAGGGAACCGGGTCAGCGATCCAGAGCCGCGTGTCTCAGCCTGATGGCCTCTAATGAGCCCCTAACGAGCTGCCCGAAGGTCCTCCAACGAGCTCCACGAGGCTAATGGCTAATGAGCGTAATTATCCGAGTGGTTGCTGGATCCCAAATCACTTCCTGTCCAGCTGATCATCATCACGTCATGAAGACGTCACCCATTGGTTTGTGGACAGACCGTGTGTGAACCGGAAGTGACCTCATATGGACTGAGGAGGACATAGAGGGGGCGTATATGTCTCAAGTAGAAACCTGTCAATCAGTGTGTAGCCCCGCCCTAAAGTGTCCCCTGCTGGTCACTACAGAGAAGTAGAGTCATTTCCTCATAGACGTCTATGGGAGCAGAGGAGTCGCCCCCTGCTGGTCACTACAGAGAAGTAGAGTCATTTCCTCATAGACGTCTATGGGAGCAGAGGAGTCGCCCCCTGCTGGTCACTACAGAGAAGTAGAGTCATTTCCTCATAGACGTCTATGGGAGCAGAGGAGTCGCCCCCTGCTGGTCCCTGCAGAGAAATAACAGAATTTATCCTCACTCTTTGTGTCGGGTTTCTCCAGCAAATCCATTTTCCCGTTTTGAAATCGGATTTTTCCTTCAGCTGTGTCCGTGTTGACAGCAGGAGAAGAAACTCTGCTGCTCTGCTCTCCGAGTGACCGTGATATGCGAGGTGGTTTATTGTGGGAGGTAAAGGGTTGAGTGAGGAGAGATCGAAGGTCACACAACAAAAATCAAGAAGTGGAATGAGTGGGAGGAAAGGGATCGGACAGGAGCTAAAAAGCAATCAATGGAAAGCAGGAGGAAAGGAAATGACACTTATCAGGACTCCTGCCTTTGTCTAGATGAGCTTTGAACTGGTACCTGGAGATGGGAAAGGCCTTGGAGGAATGAAGATGTGGGAGAACCACTTTGCTCATTGTAGAATGGGATCGTGTTCCTTTAGTCCTGTGTCTCCTTCTTTTGCTCCAGCTGGTTTCCAGTAGATCCCTCACAGACCACCTGCATCATTTCCTCAGCAGAGGAGATTTAAACGAGGTGTCTGAACTATGTGACCACTAGAGAACATCGTATTTACCGACATGTCAGGCGGCAGCGACTAGTCTTCACTACCCGTCTGGAGCCTCAGTGAATCCACCCACTCACAGAACACACTTCTGCTCCAAAGAGGACCAACAACCAGTGGACGCACAAACAAAATGAGAAACCACAAGAGTGACTCCCTTTGAACAAGCTAAGTAGTAGATTATAAAGAACTATTCGATTTGCCTGCTAAATATTTACAGTATTTATCTTATGAAGACTGTTTAAACCCAAAACATCAAACCTCAAAGTTACATTTTGGTTCCCGGCCTCAGATTTGAGTCCATTTGGACTTCATTTCATTTCACTGCTGTCCTCAGTGAACAGCTTCACGTGTCGCGTTGCACCGGCTGCTTCCTGCTCCGGGTGGGTGCGGAGGATAAAAGCTGAAACTGTAACGCTGTGTGTGCGTGTGTGTGCGTGCGTGTGCGTGCGTGCGTGTGCGTGTGTGCATGTGTGCGTGTGCGTGAAGCAGTCGGTGTCGGCTTCCCTTGAATAAATAGCAGCTTGAGGAGGCTTGAGTCCAGCAGGTGTGATTAATAAAAGCGTTTCACTCTGATGTTTCCGAGATGTTTTCTTCTCGTCCATCCGTCCTCCTCACTGAAGGGAGGGTGTTGAATTTGAGCTGCTAAAATCTACGGGACGTATTCATTATTATTGCTGTATTTACAGACAGCGTAGTGTGAGGACCTGTGTTACTGAACGGCATGCTGGGTAAATTACGGAGCAAAGTACAGTCCTCCTGCGACATAATTACTATACTATAATAGGCGCATTAGGCTTACGGCTAAAGTGCGCCGCGCGTAGTGATACTGGAGGAGTGTCACAGTTCTGCCAATGACGAGCTGACGGAGCTCATTCATTCACTTTTTGTCGGGTACCTCCAGGAAACGTGCACGTGTTTTTGTTCCGTCAGTGCGAGTCAGTGAATAAGATGCACGTCGCCGTCACCGGGCCACCCGTTGCTATGGTTACAGCTTCACGTGGATGCTGGTGTCTGAAGGCTGAACGCTGGATCAGACGGTTTCAACGTGAGCTTCAGGACCAACCAACACCGCTGTCCATGTCGGCTTTGACTTATACTACCGTACTTCCTTTAGTCAGAAGTCTCTTCGCCTTAAAGTAGAGTAAACCTGAAGTAAACCTATGTTGGGAACTTCTTGATTTGAATGGAAGAGAACGTGACGCTGCAGTAATGTGTCCCCCCCGTTGGCTGGTGGACCTCCACCACGTCGGCTGCTACACCGTCCTGCTTGGATTCATCTCCCTTGTCCTTTAACCAGCTCCTCTAAATCAAATGCAAAATTCCATTCTAGCTTTTCCCATAAAGTTAGTATAGAGTTTTAACTGAAGAACCTCGTCCTCAGTCTGTACCGCATGAGAATCAAACCTGCATGACATAAATAATCGATCAGTGGTTCAATAAAAGCCTCGTGTGGTACAAGGTATGATGGACAGGTTCAGGGGGCGGATGAGCCCGGAGGGATCGGACCTCGCTCTGCCTTGTGTGTGTCTCTGAATTAAATAACGCAGGAAGAGAAGGTTTGACGAGGAAAGTGCAATCTGACAGCTCAGGAGATGTTAAAATATGACAGGAGCATGGTTTGTAAAACAAGCAGCAGGCAGAGAAAACATCATTCCTTCAATAATCACCTCGTCAACAGAAAACAGCTCCGTGCAGACAACACAGGTCGCATTTACAGGTGAGCAGATTGACTGTGTCACATGACACATGACAGTTGAACAACGAAACCAGCAGTTGGGTTTGGTTTGAACTGATGTTCTGCAGATGACGGCCTGGAACTTATCATGGAGTCTCTTTCATCTGATTCTGCACACGGACACCTGATGAGAGGAGGAGACCTGGAGGATTGTCGTCACTTCTTCACGGGCTGAGGGTCATGAATCATTTCTAGGAATGAGAATCAGATCTGAACTGAAAATCCTTTCCATTGAAACGACTCCGCTGCAGAGTTCCACTCATGAAGAAGAACGTGTGACAGACTGCTGAGAAGTCGTGCACATCTGGACATCTCCTTTCTGATACTGCCTCTAGATCGTTACTGCTGATTCCACCAATGAGGAAGTTCAAAAGCAGCTCTGTGTTTGCATATTACCAGTAATTCCTTTCACGAGGACAAAGACGGGAAACAGCAGGAATGTTTCAATTCTTGCTGTTTCCCGCCTTTGTCCTCTGGCGAGCAGCTGGTTGACTAACAGAGAACCTGCAGCGCCGTCAGAGGACAGGATGGAGTTATGACGTGAGCTACGTGTGGTTTGTCTGAGATGATGCGTAGGAGTCATTTCATAACGTTCTTGACATTTATTAAAAGTGTCTAAATGATCTTATATAATTAATAAGATGTAATACGATATACTACACGGGCTGCAGCCTTCAGGCAGAAGACTTTCACTGCGCACTCCATCTATCATCTCTTCTCCATCTCTCCTCCATCTATCATCTCTTCTCCATCTCTCCTCCATCTATCATCTCTTCTCCATCTCTCCTCCATCTATCATCTCTTCTCCATCTCTCCTCCATCTATCATCTCTTCTCCATCTCTCCTCCATCTATCATCTCTCCTCCATCCATCATCTCTCCTCTACCTCTCCTCCACCACTCCACCATCTATCATCTCTTCTCCATCCCTCCTCCATCTATCATCTCTCCTCCATCCATCATCTCTACTCTACCTCTCCTCCACCACTCCACCATCTATCATCTCTTCTCCACCTCTCCTCCCTCTACATCTCTCCTCCACCTCCCCAGTCGTCTCCACTGGGCCGCTCAGTGAACAAACACCTGGTCTGACTGTAAACAGAGAAGAAGCTCTGTGTCGGTTAGAAGAGAACGACGGTTTGTCGTCTGTTGTCACGTTGTGACTGAAAGAGGAATATTAGGGCGTAGAGTTCGCATCAAGTATCTGTCTGATGGAGGTCTCTCCGTCAGATACAAGGCCATCGTTAACCCGATGGACATCCAGACGTCCAGCGCCGTCTTCTGGACCTGTCTGAAGGCCGTGTCCATCTGGCTGCTGTCTGTCCTTCTGGCTGTCCCCGAGGCCGTCTTCTCCCAGGTTGTCTCCATGCAGGTACACTACGTACTCCTGAGGTACTCCTGTAGTACTTCTGTGGTACAACTACTGCCTGAAGTAGAGCAGCCAGAGAAGCATATATATACATATATGTATGTATATATATATATATATATATATATATATATATATATATATATATATATATATGAGAGAGAGAGAGAGAGAGAGAGAGAGAGAAGAACAATTCCTGTGAAGTTCTTTACTTTTTTCCTTTTAAAATCACAGCAGGAAGTTTGACATTTTGACTCTAATTCTCCTCCTTCCTTTTATTTCTCTCCTTTTATTTCTCATCGTTCCTCTTTCCTTCCTCCTTGTTTCTTCTTCTTCTGTTGACTCCTCTTCTCATTCCTACGTCTCCTTTCCTCCCACCCTCTTCCTTGCTTCCTCATCTTTTTGCTCCTTCCTTCCCTCCTCACTTCTTTTATCCTTCCTTGTTTCTCCCTCTGTCCTCCATCCTCCTCTTCCTTATTCTCCCTTTCTTTCTCCCCCTCCTCCCCCCGACCCCCCCTCAGGGTCAAAGAGACTTCTCTAACGTCACCTTCGTGAACTGCGTTCCTTACCCGCTGTCCAACCAGATGCACCCTAAGATTCACTCGGTGATGATCTTCCTGGTTTACTTCCTGGTTCCTCTGACCATCATCTCGGTGTTTTATTACCACATCGCACGCACGCTCATCCAGAGCGCCCACGACATGCCGGGGGAGGTCAGCGAACACACCAAGAGACAGGTGAGCGGAGGATGAACAGACGCATTGATGAATGGATGCACGGATACGTGGATGATTTAAACACAACACGTTCTTTACATCAGTGACATTTTTCTATTTCTTTGAGAAATACAATTATTTTTTAATAAATATTAATAATTAATTGAATGAGTTCCTCTGGGTCTCCGTATGAGATGACCTCTGACCTCTTGCATGAGACCCTGGAAGTCTCTCTTGTGAAGTTAAACTGAGGATTTGTTTCTCTTTAGGGTTTTCTGGTTGAAAACTGACAATAGATAAAAGGGAAACAACCAGTGTGAGATTTCTCGCGCTTGCAAAAGATAAACAGTCTAACGGGGAATCGACTCCAAAGCTTTTTGCACCTTCAGAGACAACAGTGACTACGTCAGCCACCAGGGAGGCGTAGTTCAGTGATCACTTTACGCCAGCTGGAGCTTCTTGAGGGGTCAGGGGAAAGGAGGCTGGGGGGGTTGGATATGGTGGACGTGATCAATGATGCATGTACGTGTCCAATACATATTTATTTAATGCATATATAATAACCCTAATATATATGTATGTATACAGAAACAGCTGAAGGGTTCAACATCCTCCACCAGGTGCTCCATGTGGTGTCAATACATGCATCTTCAGTATGTCCTCGGCACGTCCTCTGGGTCTCACTCATAAAGAAACCATGAATAGATGCAGAAGAGAGCAGAGACGACGGTACTGGTCTCTGGAGGACGGTACTGGTCTCTGGTCCAGGTCTAACGCGGAGGTCAGGAGGTCCGACGAGGACTCACAGAAGCACTTTGAGGAACCGCGCTGACATTTGTCCGTGTGTTTGAGTCCTGACGTCAGGAGATGGCTGACCTGAGGGGAGTGTGCACCGGGGACATAATTGACCTTTTCCGTATGTCTCTGGGAATCTCTGAGCTTCCGCCTGACGAGGCCGAACTGCTTGTAGGAGATGCTTGGATATTTCAACATGGTTCCAGACACCCCGCCTCCGCGTTTCCTTCCATTTCGTCATGAGACACGACCAGGAAGCTCCGGACGTCAAAGTCCCGGCGGGACTCAAACCTTCGCTCCTCTCAAGCGTGATCACATTTCCCCACTAAAATAAGTGAGTGTCGGTGTGAAGACATTGGAGCTTTGAGCGATTCCTGCAGCGTGCATGATGGATGTTAAAGCCGCAGAGAAACAGGTTTTTAGCATTTATCTGATGAGCCATCTGTCCACGCCGACAACCTCCTAAGTGGTTCTGTAGGTTCAGCATCCGACAAGTTGTGTTTGGATCCTTGGAAACAAACCCTGTGGGAACCGGAGGGAGACCATATGAAGTCATAAAGGCATATATATAGTATGTATATAATGAAAATGATGTAGCACCCATCCCCCGTCCCCCCTGATCTTCCGTTGTCGTGTCTCTTTGTCTCGGCCCTGCAGATGGAGACGAGGAAGCGTCTGGCTAAGATCGTGCTGGTCTTCGTAGGCCTCTTCGCCCTCTGCTGGTTCCCCAACCACGTGCTCTACATGTACCGCTCCTTCCACTACCAGCAGATGGACCTGTCTCTGGCTCACCTGGTCATCACCCTGGTGTCCCGGGTCCTCAGCTTCTCCTCGTCCTGCGTCAACCCCTTCGCCCTCTACCTGCTGAGCGAGAGCTTCCGCAGGCACTTCAACAGGTTGGACCTCGTCTCTAGCAGGGTCTCCGGATCGCGCTTTAACCTTTAACCTTCACCACGTCCAATAGTAAAGAGGGACAATTCATGCCTAGGTGGCACGTTTGCACATGTAAACATGCAAACATATATTATACAACTAGGCGGATATTATTCTTTGTTATTCTGTCTCTCCTCTCGCTAAATGTGACCAACATGGCCGTTACTTTGGCTAGCTAGCTAACTAGCTAAGTAGTTTAAAACAAACGTCACTGAAACAGGAGTAAATGATACATTTGTTTGGGACTATTTTCCGCTGCGGATTGATTTACGTTTACCTGCTTCAGCTTTATTTGAACTAACTCTGAAAGATCTTTGAGAACGTGCTGCAGCAGCTATGGATCTGATCTCTGGTCAGCTGGTATATAAACAGCTGATGAACCAGACAATACATCTGATTTCTGAATTAAATGAAAATACATATAGTTCCTTCATCATTACTTATTTACACCATTTGAAGAAGATACGTTGGATCCAAAGCTCCTGTTCATTGTCACCATTGAGGCAGATAATAATCCCAAATCCAATCAAAAACCTTTTGGGAGGTGAAAAGTAAAGCAGACTTAACTGGAGCCACATGCATAGGAACTTGGTCCAAGTGGGAAGATTTCCATAAAGACGTTAAATGTTGAGCCGTCCGTCTGGCAGCTGGGCAACTAGTTAACCGTGTCCATGTCCTCGTGTCTCTGGGACTTTGGGGAAGGCTCAGACCGGAGACACGGTGGAGCTGCAGCATCCTTCTGGCTGCCTCAACCATTAGTTTCATTAATTTAATGATCTGCAAATGATGTTCCTCATTAATCCGCTTTGTTTCAGCTGATGTTCATGTGAAGCTTCAATGATCTTTTTAATGAAGCTTCAGGATGTCAGCACACAAAGATATCGGCAGAGTTTGTCTTTGAGGGTTAAATAAATGTAATTCAGGGGGGAACTCACAGGACAAGTTAACATGCTACATGCACACAAACATGAGTCCAACATAACAAAGAATGACATAATTTCTCAACACATTTTGACTTTATTGCGGAAAGTCAAGTTATTAATAATCATAATTTGATGGTCAAACGTTCTGAACGTAGCTTGTAATCAGTCGGTTCTTTGTCTCGTGCTCTTTACTCATAAGATATTTAGTGTATTCTCTCTCTCTTTCCCATATTCACTTTGCATTCATTCACTGTTTACCTCCTCGCAGGTCTGTTTCAGCCTCCACTGGGGGCCGTTCTGAAGGCCCGATTAGGGTTATTAACCTTTAATAACCCTTTGCAGAACACAAGGACCCCGTGTCTCAAATGTTCACCACAGTGGAAAACAGTAATAAAATATAATAATGGAAACATGGAGTGAAGCAGAGAATGTTCTTTTCCTCCCTTTGCTTTATTGTTATTTTTTGCACCACGTATTTGCCCGTGCAGCAGTTCTTCAAATACTGCATCGTCATTCAGTTAAACTAAAGAAGTACATTAGTTATGGGGTCCATTTTTATTTGAGGATCCTGCAGGATGATCAACCTCCTCAAGGTTCCCTCGGTTAACTCTTCCTTCTTCTTCTGCTTCCTCTTCAGTCAGCTGCGATGTGTTCAAGGCTCCGGCCCCGAGCGCCACGCCAGCTACATGCACAGCACCTCCCACATCCGCCTCACCTCCATCAAGAAGACCACGCCCACCGCCGCCATCGGCGCTCCGCCGGCCAATGACAGCACGGGCAGACGGGAAGTGGCTCTCTGAGGCTTTTTCATTGCCCCAGTCGCTCCTTTCACACCTTCTTCTTCTTCATATTCAACATAACTCTGCAACCAAAGCAAGAGAGGACAGACGGTCCTGTCCACAGGGTGGTGCCCACAGCTCCACTGTGGAGATCCACAGAGATGTTAACGGGTACGGAGGGTCAGACGTAGAGACCAGAGCAGCATCCACCTCTCATCTGGGGACCGGTGGGGGACCTTTGACTCTGGACCCCTGCCTGCTACTTCTGTTAGATGAAGTTGTAGCAGAGGCCTCTTCAACATGTTTGGCTGGTGTTTGGTTGGTGTTTGGTTGGTGTTCGGTTGGTGTTTGGTTGGTGTTTGGTTGATGTTTGGCTGGTGTTTGGCTGGTGTTTGGTTGGTGGTTGGCTGGTGTTTGGCTGGTGTTTGGTTGGTGTTTGGTTGGGGTTTGGTTGGTGGTTGGCTGGTGTTTGGCTGGTGTTTGGTTGGTGTTTGGTTGGGGTTTGGTTGGTGGTTGGCTGGTGTTTGGCTGGTGTTTGGTTGGTGTTTGGTTGGTGTTTGGCTGGTGTTTGGTTGGTGTTTGGCTGGAGTTTGGCTGGTGTTTGGTTGGTGTTTGGCTGGAGTTTGGCTGGTGTTTGGTTGGTGTTTGGCTGGAGTTTGGCTGGCTCGTTTGGTTGGTGTTTGGCTGGTGTTTGGCTGGTGTTTGGTTGGTGTTTGGCTGGTGTTTGGCTGGTGTTTGGTTGGGGTTTGGTTGGTGACTCCATGTTCTCAGCAGGAAGTCATGTATGGGACCTCAGGATGTATCTGTGCTCTTTGCAGACACTCAGCGGAATGGAATGCAGCCGAGTGTGAATCTACATTGATTTCACTCAGCCAAAAGAAGAGGGGGGGGGCTGTAATTTGGTACTAATGTCGGGGAGCAGCATTTTCCTTCTCTATTTAAAACAGAAAAGCCATTTGTTTGATTATGAATCAACTTAATTCTCCACATCAGTTGTATTTTACAGTTAGATAGGAGACATATTTACATCTGTGCATGAATGGAAGTTTGTACTTTTCTTGTCTTCACTGTAGTTTGTGCCAAATGACTTTGTAACAAGCTGAATGTTGGAGACATTGGATCATAGAAGATGTCCCATAAATCATCTTTCTTGGGTTCACCCTCATTATAAGATGTATTCCTGCTGCCCACGCTTGCTTCCAACAAAATAAAATCAACAATAATCCATCACACTTATAAAATGCTCTCCTTTGTCCTCAAAGAGGCTTTACATCATGTGGGTGAAACCAGACAAGCAGTGGAGTCTTAAATGGAAGATGGAGATGAGATGTGTTTCGTTGCTGTTGACAGATGTCTCTTTGTTGATGTGGTCGTCATGGAGACGGTCAGGGTCTCTTGGCCAATGATTGATGATTTGGGACTGATTGCAGATCCAGAAAGTGACTTTTCATCAGTATTTTGACGTCCACTTGGTTTTGAGGACGGCCTGAGGGTTTAATGGAATTAACTCGTGGTTTCCTGTGTTGGGATCATCGGACCTCTCACCATGATCTGACCCCCCCCCGCTGTCTATGGAGATCTCGCTGCTTCACTGCTGAAACGAAGAGACGGCCCTTTGATTACATGTTGATGTTGTTTTCCTCTTCTTTCATTGGGTTTGATGTGTTCTTCAGTGTCAGCTTGTGTCACAAATCTGTGTTAGAAAAGTCTGCTCAGATCCCATAAACAGCAGGAAGAGCAATGCGAGCAAACACTGCATCCTCCCCCCAAAGCTCAATGACGACAAGGGCTGTTTGTCTTCAGCAAAAAGGCAGGACACGCTTCGGGGCAGTCTAACTCCTGGTTGTCCGTCCAGGCTCTTTAATTGGCCAATCAGGTGTGTAAGTGGGTGTCAAAGTGTCCCCGTGCTCCGGTTGGAGGTCACCATTATGTCCACAGTAGACATCTGCGTGTGTTCAGCTTTGGCAGGTTGAATAGAAGAGGAAGCGAGATGGACTCACTTATCCTCACTCACTCATTTGCATAATTCAACACAACATTTTATTCAATAAATGCTCCTCTTAATGTAGTGATGAAGTGGTGACGTTTCATCCTTTGACACTCTTCATCATGTCGGTCGGAGGTTGGTTCACGCCGCATCGCTGCATTTATTCGTGAAAACGTTGGCTGTATTTTCTGATTTGTTTATTGATACAAAGAGATTAATCTATAAATGTAAAAACATTTGACTCTGATGTGGCAACAACAAGAACTTTTAACCTGCATGTAAAGCTCAGATTGACCATCTGTAAATGTGTGTAAATGAGCAGATAATCAATAAGACGATGTGGTGTGTCACACGCTGACGTCGGCCTCTCTGGGCCGAGCACCGACTGGACGCTCAGACTACTGAGCGTATGTCAATGAAACGGGACAGGCGATAACCTCTATTCAATATGATCAGCCAGCCGTGGGATTGGCTGAGTCCTCTCCTCTTTAACGGCGTCCTGGCTGAGCAGCCAATCGCCTCCGATCGAACCCACGGAGAGAACCGAGCTCCGACTGCTTCGATCCTCATTCCTGCATGCGGTCACACTTCAGCTTTCATTTCATTCATACACGCAGCAACTCCAACCCCGGACCTCTCGTAGTCCTGGTGTCCAGCGGATGAGTCCTAACTGTCCCCTGACCTGTCACTGTGCTCCACAAACAAACAGATTCTACTGGTTTTCTTTGGATCATCTTGGAGGCCTTTGTGAAGGTTTTGTGAAGCGTCTGATCAGTCGCACGCAGGCAGTGATAAAAAACAGTAAAGAATCCACAATAACTGAAATGAACAGAATTATAACTTATTGAATGGACCCGTCTTTTCCACTCAGCCTGAAGACGGACAAACACTTAATATCATCAATCAGGAGAGACCTCTTGAACTTTAACAAAGATTTATTTAAGTCTTGGACTCCATCCTGCCGAAGGACAAACCGGGGCCGGGATGTCGAGATGAGGCGCACCCCCCCCCTGGGAGTCCAGACACTGGAGACGGTGGAGAAGGGTGGTGGAGGCCTTCTGGTTCTCCTGGTTCTCCTGGTGCTTTCTGAAAAGACAACTGGCGGCAACAGAGAGGAGAGGAGTTTTAACGTTTGACAGCATTCGATTGGCTTACGGACGCGGCGCCTGCGTCTGGTTGGCTAGTTACTAAACGAGTCACGCCGACGTCCGTTTCTTATACGATTCAACCTGCTGTAACGTAAGAAGAACGTGTGGAACTCGCCGTCCTGCTCGGTGCCATCGGTTGACGTCTTCAGAGTTGCTGAACCATAAGCCGGCATGTGACCTAAACGCCGTTGCCAGGCAACAAGGAAAGGAGACAGAAAGGACCCTTATTGATTATTATTGCGGTTTGAAAAGGTGTCGTTAAGTTAAACTTACCACATGAAACTGGGTCATAAATAACCGACAATAACGGCAAAGAATCTTAACGCAGCACTAATCAACATTATTGATCGCCTGCGTGTGAACCGGCAGCGGCTGTGTAGAGAGTGACACACTCTTTGATGGATTCCAGTTTCATAGCCTTCGAGGTCTTTTTCTGATCGATACGGCATATTTAAAAGGTCTGCGTCGTATTTATCATTGAGGACCAATAAAGCTACTTTACATTAAAGTTCTTGTGATCAGCACTTCTGAAGACCAGATGGTTTAATTGAATGCAGATAAATCACGTTTAAGTGTTTGAGCCTGTGAGAGATTTGGATTTGTGTCAAAATGGAGACGGGCCAAAGTCAACAACAAGCACCTGCCGGCTTTTTGGAAGCAAGTCAACTGACCTGAGAGAGGTTCTCTTCATTGCCACCTCCTTCCTGTGGGGTGAAGATAGAGCGGCAGCCAGCACTTGGTTTGCTGAGCATAAAGACGACTGTTGAAAGGTAACAAAGCCCACCAACTTAGCATAGCATAGCACAGCATAGCTTAGCACGTAGCTGTAACAACATCATGATGCAGCTGTGTCGTCTTTGATAGGGACGGTAACAGCAGTCTAGATAACGTGATGTTTTCATTCCCGTCAGCATGAAGTAGTGAGTCCGGATCTACTGGGCACCTTTCAGACTCAACATGAGTGTTTGAGAGCCAAACCCGACCCGAGACCCGTCATTTATCTCTTCTCCAAAGACCAAGTTACGTTCCTGCTTTGAAAACAAGTGGAAAGTAACTTATCAAGCAGATAGAACGTTAGAAGCAATGGAAACAGTCAAAATATCTTCTCACCAGCCCTCCTTTACCCTGAATGTTGTGACCTGAAGCCATTGGATTCTCACGAGGTGGTCTGTGTCGGATCGGATCGTTCAGCCGGCTGAACGCATTAAGAAGAAGCTGTGGTGCAGCTCCAAGTTGAAGTCAGTGCCAATTTCATTTTATGGGTAAAAGTGTCCAAATCGTTACTCAACGTCGTGACTCGCCCAGACGGCCCTGGCCAAGAGAAACCAAAGGAGAGAAACCCAAAAGCCAAAGTGGGTCAATAATCCAGGACGAGCAAAGCTCAGCGTTAAGCTGGCAGCTCACATAGTGACTGGGAACACTGGGCCCAGTTACCCAGACCATGCACATGATCCAATCAGAGAATCAGTCACCTTTGTGTGTGTCGCCATTACCACTCGGTGACATTAAACGCCACACAATCAGCTAAAAAGCAGACGAATCACATTGCAGACTCAGGTCACCTGGTCTCCACTCAGGTGCGTCCTGCCGCCACGAGAGCGTCGTTGGCTCTTCACTCCAGGTGTGACGGACGGACGCCAGAGGCCGACAACGGCGTAAGTGAAGATACCTTCATGGAAAAAAGGGCCAGACATACGAAGCATTACATTACATCACATGTCATTTAGCGGACGCTTTTATCCAAAGCGACGTACAATAAGAACATTTCAACCATAGGGTACAAACTCAGGAGAACAAGAAACAAGAAAGTGCCATTTCCTCAAATAAGCCAATTTACAATTTGCTATAGATGAGTGACGTTACAAGTCCAATGTAAGTGCTCCAGTTAGTTAGTGTGTTAGTGGAGGTAGAGTCTGAAGAGGTGTGTCTTTAGTCTGAAGATGTGAAGGCTCTCTGTGGTCCTGATGTCTTCAGAGAGCTCGTTCCACCATTTAGGAGCAGGACAGCAAAGAGTGGAGATCTAGTCGAGTGTTTTGCTCTCAGTGAGGGAGGGACGAGAAGTTTTGCAGATGCAAGCGGAAATACGACCAATCTGGTTTTCATCTATCGATGCAAAGTGATCGGTGCTGATTTTAATTCAGCCGCATGTTCGACGTACAAAATCAATTTACATGAATGAGGCTGATCTGTGTTTAACCATGTTGGTCCTCCTCCAGACCTCAACAGGAGATCTCCGGCTCAAAGGATCACTTGGAGTCACTTCCACACG